TTTGTGAAGACTGACTGGTGAGTTTGAATACCAACCTTGTGGTTCAAATCAACATTGTGGTCCAGTGCTTATCCTACAGCACCATGTTGCTGTTGTTGTTAAGGGCTGTCAAGTTGGTTCTGACTCATAGCGACCCTGCCTGTATAGAGTTCCCAAGGAGTGGCTGGTGAGTTTGAACCAATGACCTTGAGATTCAAACTGACCTTGTGGTCAAGTCTCATCCCACAGCACCACACCATAGAGACTCTTTATTAAGTCTGAAACAGGAGTAAACACAAGACTAAGACAAACAATATGATCACCCAGGTGAGGGAAATCATAGATACCATGATGAATTTCCAAAGTTCTAGCTGGTGTAGCACTGTGGGTTAATGTGCCAGACTGCAAATCCGTTTGAACTGCGAGGTCAGTGGTTCAAGCTCACCAGCCGCTCCTTGGAAACCCTATACAGGGTTGCTATGGGTCTGAACCGACTTGAGAGCACTTCACAACAACAGCTCCACGTAGTTCCCTTTTAGAGGGCACAGAGAACAAAGGACTCTCCTTTCACTATCACCACTGATGGCATCAATGCATACCACATGCACGCGGGGGCTACTGAAAGCAGGGAGCAGACTATTGTAGATGCAGATAGGAAAGCTTACAGACTGTCTCTGAGACTCTAGGTTAAGCAGCACAATCAAGTGACCCTTAAGGGGCGTGGCCAGGAATGTTTCTGCTGAGGCCAGCTAGAGGAAGTGGCCCCCAAATTCACTTTAAAATATACTGTTTCTAACTCTAGCAAGGATCTCTGGTAGCATAGTGGTTACAAGTCGGGCTGCTAACTTCAAGGTCAGCAGTTTGAAACTACCAGCCGCTCCGTGGGAGAAAGATGAGGCTTTCTGCTCCTGTAAAGATTTACAGCCTCAGAAACCCTATACGGGGTCGCTGTGGCATATCACCACGTCTAACTCTAGCAGTTCAGCTGTCAGAGATGCATGAGATACTGAAGAAAAATTAGTATCTGATCATTTAAACCTCGGCACAAGCTAGAATTCAGATCTGATTGGCTGGAGTCAGTCACAAGCAAAAGCCTTCAGATTTCATGCTTTCCAGCAAATTTTGTCACTAAATCGCTTTAGTTTCAGTTTCCTCATCTACAAAATGGGGCAAATAATAATACCTACTTCACAGAGTTGTTGAGAGAATTCAAAAGATAATATATGTAAAGTGCTTAGATGCAGCTTGGCACTCAGTAAGCTTGTGCTAAATGTTAGCGGTTATTACATACTCCTCCTTCAAATGTTGATAGCACTTCCTGTGACAGTCTCTATACCTCCCAGCTGGCCTATAAGAGAGAAAAGCTGGAGAGAACATTCTAGGTGGGGGAGAAGTTGGGAGGACATTTTAACAATAATTTCCCTTTGGAAGCCACTCCTAACATAGTTTTTGAATATGAGCATTTTTGGCAACCTGGGGATTCATACTGTTATGGATTGCAGAACTAGCAGAATTGATCTCCAATTACCTCATTTTACATTCTAGTGAAAGACATTAGATCCAGAAAGATAAAATAATTCTTCTGAGATGGTGGTGGTGGTGTGCTGTGGAGTCGGTTCCGACTCATAGCCATCCTGTATACGGTTTCCGAGGCTGTAAATCTGTCTGGGAGCAGAAAGCCTCATTTTTCTCCCGTGGAATGGCAGGGAGTTTTAAGCTGCTGACCTTGAGGTTAGCCGCCCAACTTGTAATCACTCCGCTACCAGAGCTCCTTAACTCTGCTGAGATAGAAAAATCTAAATTCAGGTCTCCTAATTGTTGGCCCCCGGCTCTCTCCACTGTTGGCAATTTTCTCATCAAAGTAATGAAGCCAGACTCAAAAGAACTGGAAAAAGCCCAGCTTCTTCTCCTGCCCCTCTAATCAGCTGCTTCTTGTTCCTCACTCCACACTAGGGTCTCTGATGAGGGCCTCTCCTCAAACTGATAGAAACTGCAGGCTCAAGCTTTATCTGGATGCTGGGTCATCAGCAGTTTTAGGCTAAAAGGTCTTTCATACTCTGTAAGAATGTGAAGGTAAGAGTCAAACCATCAGCTGTACCTCAGAAACCCTATACAGGGTCGGTATGGGTTGGCTCCAATTCATACCGACCCAGTGTAGGGTTTCCAAGGAGAGTCTGGTGAGCTTGAACCACTGAACTTGCCATTCAAACCGACTTTGCAGTCTTAGCACATTAACCCCCAGTGCCACACCACCACAACAGTGGCTAAAAACGTTCCACATGACAGCAAAATACACTGAGAGCTACTGTCAGCAAAAACTCTCCAACGTCTCAGATATTGTAGTCCCAATATTGTTTGTGACAGTTATGGGCTGTTTAGAAGTCCCCTGAGTCACACAGCATTTTGTATCTAGGCAGAAAAGTATGTGAGATGTATGAGAGAGGCGCAATCCAGGCACCAAAGACTAGATGCAGTTGTGATACCAGAAGTGGATCTATGTTTTCTGAAAGCCATGGCTTATCAAATTTGGGGGTTCTTCTTTAAGAAACTTAATAAATAAAAATATCTTACTTTTGCAAATTGTACAAAAATCTAGGACCATGTAAACACACTTCCAGGGTTGCTCAAGGTCACTGAAGGGGGACCATGCAAGAGCCAGGCCTGAGTTAACCTAGTTCGGCTGCAACTCTGAGTAGCATTAATATTGATCAAGACAACGCATTAATGACCCAAAGAGGATAAAAGTATAGGACTTTAACCTCAGGCACCCACCTCATTTTAATTCTCACAGTCAAATACTATCAAACTTTACCTGTTTTAAGGAGATGCTGCTTCCCTAAGATCCATACCAGCTCATCTGTATCTGGAAATTCTTCTAGGTAGTCAGTGAAAATAGTAATCTGGTTTTCATACTTGGATAAAACTGAAAGAAGAGGAAAGAAATTTTAAAGCAAAATTCAATAGCATGGAGGCTTATTTTTGTGGTTTCCTTGGCTTGAGCAGGAAAGAACAAATCCTTTTACTTGCAAAGCAAAGCCACCCACCAGGCCTCAAAATCCTTTAATAGAGATAATTCGTCTTAACCATCTCCTTTTTCTGTTCTTGCTTCAGTTTTATTTCTTTATTGTAAAAAATTTATACAATGTAGATTTGCCAACTCAACGGTTTTCATATGTACAACTTAGTGGTATCAATTACGTTAATCAGGCCTGAGATAATCTTTAAAACTTAAACCAAAAATATCCCCTTAATTTATTTTAAACTAAATAATAATAATAGCTTAGCTTAACAAGTACAAAGAAAAAGGTTTGTCTTGAGCATTCTGCTATTTTAAGAACTAACTATATGTGGTGTTGGGTTAATGCGCCAAACTGCCAAGCCGTTTGAACTGCAAGGTCAGCAGTTCAAGCTCACCAGTGGCTCCTTGGAAACCCTATACACGGTCACTATGGGTCAGAACTGACTCAAAGACACTGAACAACAACAACAGTTTGCAAGCCACACTTGCAGAACTTATGGCCATGTAATATGGGAGTCACTGTACTGTGTAATGGTACAGCACTATGCTATACTAATTGAAAGGCTGGTGGTTCTAATCCACCTAGGTGGTAGCGGTTAAGTGCCGTCAAGTCAGTTCCGACTCACAGTGACCCTATATAGGGTTTCTGAGGAGCAGCTGGTGAGTCTGAAGTGCTGACTTTGTGGTTCAAACCGAACTTGCAGTCCAGTGCTTATCCTACAGCGCCACCCCAGGGCTCTAAACCACCTAGAGGACCTCGAAAGAAAGGCCACAACCATTGACAATCCTATAAAGCAAAAATATTCAGCAAAATCATTAGGAATTATGAATTTTACTGCATAATATAATGCCTTAAGGAGTTTTGGTAGTATGTTGTTGTTAAGTGCTGTCAAGTTGATTCTGACCCATAGCAAACCTTTATAGGACTTCCAAGGAGCAGCTGGTGAGCTTGAACCACCGACCTTGCAGTTCAAACGACTTTGCCATCTGACACATTAGCCCACAGCGCCATACCAGGACACCTCTGGTAGTATGTTGTTCTTGTTGTTAGGTGCCATTGAGTCAATACCGACTCATAGTGACCTTATGCACAGCAGAATGAAACACTACCCGATCCTGGGCCAACCTCACTATCGTTGCCACGCTCGAGCCCACTGATGCTGCCACTTTGCCAATCCATCTCACTGGGGGTCTTCCTTTTTTTCTCTGACCCTCCACCCTAGCAAACATGAGTGGGTTACAAATTGGGCTGCCAACTGCAAGGTCAGTAGTTGGAATCTACCAGCCACTTCACGGGAGAAAGATGAGGTTTTCTGTTCCCATAAAGATTTACAGCCTTGGAAATCCTATACAGGGTCACCATGAGCTGTAATCAACTCCATGGCACATAACCACCACCACCACCACCATAATGCTTCAACCTAAAATTGTATAGCAATTTTTTCATAATTAAATATAATTAATGTGACAGGAAAGGAGCTCTGGTAGCGTAGTGGTTACGAATCGGACTGCGAACCTTAAGGTCAGCGGTTCGAAACTATCAGCTGCTCCGCAGGAGAAAGATGAGGCTTTCTACTCCCGTAAAGATTTACACCCTCGGAAA